GGTGGTTTTCGGGTTCGGTTCGTAGGTTGGAATAGCAATAGGGTAGCCCATTCGGTGGCTAGGAAGGCCCTGTCTTTGTCTCCGACCTCGTGTCGTTTGTATGATTTCTATGCATGGGTTGGGTCCAGGATGTAACTTGTGATCTTTTTCTATGAATGAAATATCTTTTGTCAAAAAAAAAAATTGACGAGGCGATCAACCACCCTATACCTTATTAGTAATTTAAACTTAAAAAATTTTAAAGTTCCAAAAACATTAAATTCATTAATAATGTTCTTATGTATTTGTAACTTGCAGACCATTTGGTACCAAATGAATCGAGACAATAATTCAATTTAAAATAAATTACGGTTTAGAATTCTTTATCAAATAAATTCTTGTGTTTGATATTTCATATTCAAATCTTTAGTAATAAAATAAATTGACTTGTCAATCCTTGTTTGGAATACGTTCAAAATTGAATTAAATTTCTAACTACACCCTAATTATTTTTCAGCATAAACAATATTCATTAAAAATTCATCTCCTAAAAAAGCAAGTGATACAATTATTATCCAATCAATAAGACAAAGCTAAAAAATAAGTTCGGTAAAAATTAGTGAACAAGTTGAAGATCCATCTCTACAGACCTTAACCCAATTTTCTCTTGAATGAAGCGATGTTGATCTCCTCATAATGGAATTTGGAGTCGGGCGGAATACAGGATTAAAGAGAAACTATAGATATTATGTTAACATATCGGCGGAAAGAGTAGGTTAGGCGCGCAACGTCAAATAATATACGCAAAAAAACTTAATTAATAAATGAGATAATTATATCATTCTATTATAAATAGTAAAATACGTGTGAAATTCATTTGGAAATAACATATCAATTCCTCGAAATGGCTATAATTAGTTTCAATTTCATAGTTTTCAAAATTTAGAATTCAAAATGAATTTTTAAACTCCTAAACACAAAATTTATTTTAAAATAAATTTCTCAATGGTTTTGTATTTTGATTAGTGTAATTAACCCAAATGAAAATGTCTAGCATCTAGAGATGACAATCCAACCCGAAATCATGGGTACCCTACCCGACCGTAACTGGTCAACGTGGGTAAATTACCCGCTTTGACGGGTTAAGGGCCGGGTACGGGTAATACCTGATTGTAAAAATGTGGGTAGGGTAGGGGTATGGTAATTGCTAATACCCTCCTCGTTGTACCCGCACCGCTAACTAAAGGGTAGATATGATGTATTGTGTTTTTGTTTGTGTGGATTGTAGAAGCAAGTATTGAAGGTAGAACAAATATGATGTATTGTGTTTTTGTTTGTGTGGATTGTAGAAGCAAGAACAACTATTATGTGTTTTCGGTTTTTATTTATGTGGATTGTTGTAACTAGAACAGTTACAAGTATTCACAATTTTAATGGACAACAGTATGTATGTGCATATATGTGTATAAGTTCATATTTTAGGATTTGTACCGTGTTTACCCAGTGGGTAGGGTATGGTTATATCATTTTCTTTCCCGGTGGTTATTTAATCGGGTAATTTAGGAGGCTCTACCCGTCGGGTTAGGAGTTTGTATAGGGTGAACCCGCACCCGACCCTACCCATTGCTATCCCTACTCGCATCTAGGGATGTTAATGAACACAGCCGCTCATGAACGGCTCGGTGTCCGACTCAAGAAAAACTCGTTCGACAGTCGATTCGTCTTAATCGAGCCGGCTCGCGAACAAGCTCGTTAACTAAACGAGCCAAACTCGAGTCATACCATGTTCAGCTCGAAAGCTCGCGAACAAGCTCATTTAATGGTCTGGCATAAGAAAAGGATTAGAATTCATGTATTTTATGTATTGAAATTGGGATAAATATTGTGTTTTACTTTGATAGACTTTGCTACAGGTTTGAATGTAATTTTGTGCTCAGTTCTAAGTCAATTTTGAGCTATCATGAACATTTTAATAGCTGAACTCGATTTTGGCCTCGTGAAACATATTTGACGAGCCGAGCTCGAGTCGAGCTCGAACTTTCATTTTCATAGACGAGCTGGGCTCGAGCCTGGAAACATATTAACGAGCCGAGCCCGAACCATGACAAAGCTCGGCTCGATTCTGCTTATTAACAGCCACACTCGCATCCCAATTAGAGCTGTCAAAATGTAACCCGACCGAGTAACCCGCCTGATCAACCCGACCCACAACCCGATTTGACTAAAAGTCAATGACCCATAACCCGCCCGACGTGCAACCCGATCGACTCGCAACCCGATCAACCCGCAACCCGATCGACCTGCAACCCGACCAACCCGCAACCTGACCAACCCGCAACCCGATTAACCCACAACCCGACCAACCCGCAACCCGACTAACCCGAAGTCGTAACCCGACCAACCCGCAACCCAACTATAATAGAAGGAATTCGATGAAGATAAACTAAAAGTTGACATTTGAAATTCTAGTTCACTAAAGTCTGATCATTACATCATCAATTATTAACTTAGTATAATAATATACACCATCAACCTATTAACGCATATAATATCATCAAATAATTATTTGGATACATCATCAACCTAATAGTGCACATAACATTATAAAATATTAATTTAGCATAATAAGATAATTATAAGATTTAAAATCTAAAAATCGTGGTCCTATCATAAAAAGACTAATAATAGTTCACAAAAGTCTAATCATAACAAGAATACATGACTCATAATAGTTCATATTGTCTCAAGACCTCAAATATCAATAAAAACATGTCTAAAAAACAAATTGACATTTCAAATAACGATCATAACAAGAATACATGACTCATAACACTACAGGAAAAAGGTCATTTAATCATGGGAATAGTTGGACTCGGTCGCTGGAAACGAGAGCATTTCTCACTCATGGTTTCTCTCAGATCAGCTCATACATACACATAAATCGGGTGGAGGGACAAAGCACAAAACCTGCATAGGGCCCAAATTTGCAAAAATAAGGCGGGATAATTCATTGGCCAATTTTGTTTGAGCCAAAATGAACTTTTTCGTTGGTGGGCACTTTTTTGGAGCCAACCCAAATTTTCCCACATAAATTTTGGAAAAGTTTTTTTTTTTTTTTTGAGCCAAAGAAATTTTAGAGCCAACCCAAATTCTCCCACCTAAATTTTGGGAAAGTTTAAATTTTTTTTGGAGGCAAAGAAATATTGGAGCCAACTCATATTCTCCCAACTAAATTTTGGAAAAGTTTGTATTGCAAAAATATTCATATTATTCACGGTAATTAACTGTGACTGATTATTACTCAGGGGAAGTGAAGATTAAAAATAGGTAAATTAATTCTCGTGATTGTAACTATAAAATTAATTACGGAAAATTTTATCGTGCTTAGTAGCATACCTCTAAGTACTGGAAACACTACTGTGAATAAGATACTGTGACTGAAAACCAGTTTTCCTGTAGTGTATAGGGTATATAACGAGTGTAATGGGTTAGGATATAAGGTATTACTGTTTTAGGCACGATTAGTCAAAAACTCAAAATAATAACTTATAACTAGGATCGAGTTTTTTATTACACGTGTTCATGAATCAAACCATTAGAGGTTTAGGGTATATAGACTGTAGAGTCGATGTATAGGGTATATGATTAGTCTAATGGGTTAGGGTATAAGGTATTAATGGTTTAACAATTATTAGTCAAAACCATAACTAATAAGATCAACTTTTCTTATTAACACATGTTCATCAATCAGAATTCAGATCATTAGGGGTTTAGGGTATAGGTTATAGAGTCGACTTATAGGGTATATGGTTAGGGTATAAAGTCTTAATAATTTGACCAAGGTTAGTCAAAATCATAACTAATAAGACCAACTTTTCTTATTGACGTATGTTCATGAATCAAACCAGTAGGGGTTTAGGGTATAGGTTATAGAGTCGACTTGTAGGGTATATGGTTAGAGTATAAGGTATTAATGGTGTGGCCCCGATTAGTCAAAATCATAACTAATAATATCAAGTTTTCTTATTAATATATGTTCATGAATCAAACCATTAGGGGTTTAGGGTATAGATTATAAAGTCGACTTATAGGGTATAAGGTATTAATGGTTTAGCCATGATTAGTCAAAATGATAACTAATACAGATCAAGTTTTTTTTTTATTAACATATGTTCATCAATCAAACCATTAGGGCTTTAGGGTATATGATATAGAGTCGACGTATAGGGTAATGGGCTAGGGTTAATGTATTAAACTATTTATGGTTTAGCCAAGATTAATCAAAATCATAAATAATAAGGATCAAGTTATTTATTAACACATGTTCATGAATAAAATCATTTGGGGTTCAGGGTATAGACTATTTAGAGTTTAGATTATATGTTATCGAGTAAAGTTGCAATTGAACTCACAACAATTTTCTAAATTTTATAATTTAGTTTAATACAAAATCATTTAAACAATTAACTAGCTAAACCAACAATTTCTCTATACATTTATATGAACAATTTCACTTGTTTTTAAAAAATTAAAAAATTATTTTTAAACTTTTCTCTCCAAATTTTGGGTTCCCTCGAATACTACTGTCCAAAAATTTGATCCCCTACCCGCCGAGACCCGCCAATAATTCCCACTGTAATGTTTCCCCAAAATTTTGTTTCCCCCACCTTTGAGTCTTTGACTTTGAGTAGTGATTCTTTTTTTTCTTACAAGTATTGTGGTAGCTTCATATAGTTACGATTTACGACTTACTAGTAATCACTAAAAAGTAACGCGATGTTCTGGTCCATAAAACCCGCAACCCGAACTGCCCGACCCGCAACCTGATTGGCCCGCACCCGATTAACCCATAAATCGATTGGCCAGCAATCCGATCAACCCGAACCCGATGAACCTGCAACTCGATCGACCCGCAACCCAACCAACCTGCAACCAAATGAACCCAGTCCGAACTCGCCGAACCCGCCCGATTTACACCTATAATCCCAATTGAGTTTCCGTTCCCTCCCAATCCCAAATAAGGAAAGGAAGAAAACCCTAAAACAGAAGTTGTTCAATTCCGTGTCAATTTTCTCCAGCTGAGCTGCCTGCTGCAAACGCAATCAATTCAATCCCCGCACTCTTCAAGCTGCGTGTCTCAATCACCTCCGTAGAATGATTTGATGGGTTCGATTCGATTGCAACACCATCGCCATTGTCACCACCTCAGGCTCAGCTGCCCCGCTCCCCTCTCCATTACACACCGGCGGTGGAGAAGCTTGACTCAGACTCACCCCTCCCTCCTATCGCCGCCGTCGCCGCCGCCGCCGCCACCAGGTTTGTCTCCCTCACTGCAGATTCAAGAACATTCCCCCGACCCACTGCCCTGCCTGAATAAAAACGGGCCCCATTTCGGAGTGGTATTTTAGATTCGATGCCGATGACGGCGAGTGCTCCAAATCTTACTGTAAAATTGTACATATACAGACCTCTCGACCCTTCCAGATCATGGCTATGGCAGGGGCGAAAACCATTGCGATTTGTCAGCTGGGGGAGAATTCCACACCGAAAACGACGGTTCCTTGTCCTACAGAGGCGGGGATGCTCACGCCATTGACATCGACGAATAAGTGAACTTTGCTGACTTCAAGATGGAAGTCGCCGAGATGTTTAATTGTGGCGGCGGTGGGGGCGCCACCTTCAACTCCAACATCACTCTTAAGTATTTCCTCCCCGGAAACCAGAAGACCCTTATCACCATCTCCAACGACAAGGACTTTCAACGCATGCTCCGCTTCCATTCCCATTCCCTCACCATTAATGTCTACGTCTTCATCGACCAACCCCCTCTTCCTGACTTCTCAAGCTTCCCTGCTAGCAGGTAATTATGCCCTTTACTGTACTCTACTTCAAAACCATCTTTTTTGAAATATTTGATTCTTAGCTCAGAGTTCCTTTGTATAGATCTAGCAGAACCACTCTCTCCGAAGCACAGCAATTGCCTCCAGCGACTGACCATGTCCCTGATGCTGAAGAAGATGTTATAGATGCCCACCATGATATAACTCTTGCGGATATTGTTGATGACACCACCAGCCAGGTTGACATCCACATCGATTTACCTCTAGAAATGTCACCTCTTCTTCCTCTAATGGCTTCCACTTTCCGCAACGCGAAGCATCATGTCAAAGAGCATTGGCAGGACACTATAACTGGTGTGGGTCAGAGATTCAGCAATGTCAATGAATTTAGGGAATCCTTGCGTAGGTATGCAATTGCCCATCAGTCTGCTTTCAAGCACAAGAAGAACGACAGTCATAGGGTCACTGTCAAATGCAAAGCTGAAGGTTGTCCATGGAGGATTCATGCTTCCCGGTTGTCGGATACTCAGCTCATTTGTATCAAGAAGATGAACCCTACACATACATGTGATGGCTCGGTGCTTACAACCGGGCACCAATCGACTCGAAGCTGGGTGGCTAGCATAATTAAGGAGAAGTTGAAAGTTTTCCCAAATTACAAGCCCAAGGATATTGTGAATGACATCAAGCAAGAGTATGGAGTCCAACTGAAATACTTCCAAGCATGGAGGGGGAAGGAAATTGCCAAAGAACAACTCCAGGGTTCATTCAAAGATGCATACAATCAGCTGCCTTTGCTGTGTGACCAGATAGTTGAAACTAATCCTGGAAGTCTTGCTACTTTCACTACTAAAGAGGAGGACTCTAGCTTCCAGCGCTTGTTTGTCTCGTTTCATGCCTCTTTGTCTGGCTTTCTCCAAGGATGTAGGCCTCTGCTTTTCCTTGACAGTATATATTTGAAGTCTAAATGCCAGGGTGCTTTGTTGGCTGCAACTGCTGCAGATGGAAATGATGAAGTCTAGCCTGTGGCCTTTGCTGTGGTGGATACAGAAACTGATGAAAACTGGCATTGGTTTTTGCTGCAGAAAACTGCCTGCCAACTTCTTGTCCACTGACATTTGTTGCTGACCGACAGAAGGGTCTGAAAGAATCTATTGCTTAGGTATTCGAAGGCTCTCATCATGGTTACTGCTTAAGATACCTGACCGAGCAACATTTTAGAGAGCTGAATGGGCAGTTCTCACACGAAGTGAAGAGACTCATTATTGAAGATTTATATGGAGCTGCCTATGCACCTAGGCCAGAGGCATTTCAGCAGTGCATTGAGAGCATCAAAAGCGTTTCCCCCAAAACCTATAGTTGGATCATGCACAGTGAGCCCCAAAACTGGGCCAACTCATTCTTTCAGGGGGCAAGATACTCGTGTTGGACAGCTCTTCTATAGTTGGATGTCAGATGCTGATGAACTACCAATAACACAGATGGTTGATGTATTGAGGGGGGAAATCTCAGAGTTAGTCTATGCAAGGAGGTTAAATGGTGATCAGTGGCTGACAAAGTTAACTCCTCCTATGGAGGAAAAGTTGGATAAGGAGAACCTAAGCATTGGCGCACTTCAGGTGCTTCTCTCAGTTGGCAATACATTTGAGGTTCGTGGGGAATCGGTCGCTGAAGTTGTTGATGTTGACCACCGGGATTGTAGCCAGTGGCAGAGCCATGAATCTAAATGAGGGGGCTAAAAAAATTTACGTTCAAAGGTTTGAACCTGTGAGGGGGGTCTAAAGCCTTATCACCTACTCTATTATCCAAATGTGCTGTGAAATTTACATGTAAATTTACACAATTTTGAGAGTTGAGGGGGTTATAGCCCCTCCTGCCAACAACGTGGCTCCGCCACTGATTGTAGTTGTACAGGGTGGCAGCTTAGTGGGTTACCTTGTTGCCATACACTTGCTGTGATAGGTTGCATTGGGAGGAGTCCTTATTATTATTGTTCTAGGTATTTCTCTACCGATTGTTACAGATTAACTTATTCAGAGTCAGCCCACCCTATACCACAAGTGGAGAGGCCTAGTGAGAGAAAGCCTTTGAACGGAGTAGTAGTGACTATCAGTCTATCACCCCTCCTCCTACTCGGCGTCCCCCTGGACGGCCCACCACAAAGAAATATGTAACGCAGGAGACTATGAAACGTCAACTCCAGTGCAGCAGATGCAAGGGTCTTGGACACAACAAGTCAACATGCAAAGAGAATTTGTAAAGGTTTACGCGCTGTAAGTATTTTCCTTTTTGCACAGAATTCATTTTTATGCCTTCGTACATGGTAGGACTGAAAGTGTTTGACTTTCTTGAAATTTATCAAGTGCACATAAGAGGATCTAATGGTGGGTAATTCTGAATTTGAAAAATAGTCTACTTAGCGATGGCTAGGTGTTGCAACCAATGAGCACTGTGTTTGTCTCTGATTTTAAACAGGGAGGACATCAATTCATCACGGAGCAATGGCAGCTGGCCTGGACTTGTAAAATGTAGTAAACCGTGTTAGTATGAAAAAGCTGATTAGTGATTGTCTTTTCGGTTCGGGCTGTTGTTTATTTTCTCAAATCCACTTGGGAGTTGCAACTGTAATGTAGAGAGGCAGCCGGAGGTTACAATGATGATGTAGTATGGCTTCAACATCTAAACCCTTAAATGGGTAATTTTATTCATAATTATAGAAGTTACTGACTTCTGAGAGCCAGAGTACGGTTCAATTCATCAAACTTCTGGCTATTTTCGTTACAAATATAGCGGGTCTTAAGTCGCGAGCATGATGAAACCGTAGTAAGCTTCCCTCATTTCAGCTTTTCTTCACACAGTGGATGATGCAGTTTCAGGCGACCCCTCATTTCAGCTTTTCTTCTAACAGTGGATGATGCAGTTTCAGGCGACCTTTTTCACCATCTTGCCAGCATAATAAGCTTTTCAAAGTGAATGAGGTGCTTTCGGACCAGGTATGTATGTATGCTATACAGAAGGGCAGCCATGGTTACAGCAGCGAAGGATATCAATATGTCTATATGCAGAAATCCTGATAAACAGTGAAGAAAAGAAGGTTTAGTGGTAGTTATATCTATATGTCTATCAGAAATGTCACGTTAATTGTGAACTGAAATTTGTACAGTGTTTCAAAGGCTGTGATTACTACCTTTGGGTCTGAGATGATTATGCCCATCACATAACCCAGCAGATCAAGAGCAGATTGAAGAGAGTTCTGAACACCTCCCACAATGCAACGATCAGATTCAGCAACACGATCCTTCAATTCATTTGGCACAAGGGAAGATCATAACAAAAGGAATCATAAGTAGGCTTGGCAACGGGTCGGATCGGGGCCGGGGAAGGGCGATCCGTCACCCACCCGAAAGCCTGTCGGGCTTTCCCCGAATCCGCCCCACTAGCCTTCCAGGGCTCATTTTCAGGCCCAACTCCGAATCCATCGGGTAGCAGGCTCCAATCGGGTTTATCGGGTATACCCGCTACCATTGTCAGCCTGGAAAAAACAAAAAAACAAAACAAACAAAATTCAAAGGATGCAACTTGGAAATTCTTAGAGAAAAATCAAATGGCATTCCAACTCTAATCTTCCAAAATCCGAACTGTCTAAACAAATCCAAAAGGATCAAGGCATCCAATTTATAGTTTGAAGTTCATAAACTTCAATCCAAGCAATAAAACAGAGTAGCAAGTTCAAAAACTTCAATCCACCAAAGTGCAGCAAGGCAAACTTAAAGAAAATGAGCCATCAAGCTCAACATTAAACAACAGCAACTCTCCAGCAGTAGGCAACAGCAACTCTCCAGCAGGCAGCAACAGCAACTCTCCAGTCTCAACTCTCCAGCAGGCAACAGCAGCAAGTCTCTCCAGCAGCAGCAGTCACATGCTCGATCTTCAAGCATCAAAGTCCAGCAGTGCACGATCTTGAAAATCTGTGACCACATACATATTTGTTCAGTATTCACCATCTTTAAAATTGAAGTTACTTACTAATTCTTCAGTATTCACTAACCTCCTTTCTTAAAGTCTTCACAACTAGGATCCTCCATTGTCAATGCAGAAAAACAGCTATCCAATCCGTTAATCCCCTCCTTTCCAGCATCTGCAGACAAAAGATAAAAGAATTGAGTTAGTTAATTTCACATTCAACCACAAACAGAGCTGGAAACAATTAAATAAACCCTTACCTTTGCTAATATCATCCTTAATCCAGGTACGGGTGCACATGATTGCCTCAACAGTTTCAAAGTGCAGCCTACTCCGGTGAGGATCCAGTAGCCTACCACCGGAGCTGAAGGCTGATTCTGAGGCCACAGAGGTCACTGGTACAGCAAGCAAATCTCTTGCTACCTCTTGCAACAGAGGGTATTTTCCAGCATTCACCCTCCACCAATCCAAAACACCAACATTAGGAGCTCGAGGACTAACACCCTCACTCAGATAATGGTCCAATTGAGAGCACAATGAAGTTGTTTTAGACCTTTTCCTTCGGCTTAGAAAAAGCTCAAAGCCAAGGTCACTAGAGGATCAAGGCTTTGAAACTTTTCATAATAGTACCCAATCAACTCAAGCTTGTATGCAGGATCAAGCACAACAGCCACAGTAAGCAACACATGAATATCAATCTAGTATTTGCTGAACTTGATCCACATTTTTTCAGCCATTGCACCAATGATCTCATCAGGACCATATCTCCACTCATTCAGTTCGAATTTCAAGTCACAGATCTTAGGAAAGAACAAATTAGCAGTAGGATAATTGCTTCCAGAAAACAGATCCGAATTTTTTTTGAAAACCTCCAGTTTTTTAGAGATCACAGTGGCAAACTTCCAATCATCACTGCTAGGCACAGAAGTATAATTAGGTTCTCTCTGACTCAAACGAGTGAACACATCCTTGTAAGGAATTGCAGATTCAAGCATAGTGAGTGTTGAGTTCCACCTAGTAGGGCAGTCAACATAATGAGCAGTTACAGCCATGTATGCTCTCTTTTGATTATCTGCTGTCCACATATCAGTAGTGACAGCAATTCAACCTTTGTTACCATCAATCAACTTTTGCATCTTTTTCCTCTCAATCCTATACATACCAAGAATGTCACTCTTACAAGTGTTTCTACAAGGAACTTTGAACAAGGGTTGCAGAGAATTGCAAAATATTTTGAAGTACAAGTGATCCACCATACTGAGTGGATACTCATGCATCAAAATCATAGTAACAAGTTCCTTCCTAGAAACCTCTGCATTAAACTGACCAGTGCATATTTCTTTCCTCCCAAGAACACCATTTGGAAGGAAATTAGTGGCAATATTTTTCTGATGGCCATCATGAATATGTTTTTTAACACATACTTTTTTATGATTCCTCAAATGAGAGGTACCATTGCTAGTATCACCACCAAGAATCTTACGGCAATATTTGCACTTAGCTTTCATCACACCAGACTTATCAACAAACCTAGTAAAGTGAGGCCAAACATCGCTTTTTAATGGACGTTTGGCCCCAAATGGAAGCGGAGAAGGCTCACCATCATTGACTGGTGCATCACCAGCAGGAGTCACTACATTACCATCATCCACAGCAGCTGCTGGTGCATCACCAGCAATCAATGGTTGCTGCTGCTCGGGTTCAGGGTTGATGAGTGGGGGTGTGGATTGAGAGTTGGGAGAGTTGCTGAATTCAACACCTTCCATTGCCTCACCTGTTCATCAATCAGGAAAAAGAAAACAACTAAGGTTAAATAAACTGAAACTAAGAACTAATGACTAGTATTAATAAGACTCCAGACTGTAGAATCGACTAAATTACATTCGTGATTAGTTAATGATCAATGAAACAGGGCAGTCAGTAACCCTGCAACTCTACAGAAATCACAAAACAGGGGGATGAGTTAAACATGCAAGTATGCAACAGGAATTACACGCGGCAATAATCCCTACAGAAATCACAAAACAGGGGGATGAGTTGGGAGACTTACGACTTGTGCAGTTGTGCTCCTTGCAGTTCCAGTGACTGGAATAATGGAATTCTCAACAGGAGTTACACGCGGCTAGAAGCTTCGAGAGTGGTTTGCGACTTTGAGTTCTGTGAATCTGTGAGGAAAATTGCCAAAACAATCAATTAGACTATTTATAAAGGCATGCATGAAGAAGAAGTAGAAGATAAAGCTCAAGACGAAGAGAAAGAGTCGATTAAGGGCAAGTGCAGCTGTAATCGTCATCGGGAAAGGCTCGATTCGAAAAAATCGATGGGGTTTCAACAGATTGATTGGGTATCTCATCTTTTGAGCAATCAGTGTAGGGATTATTGCCGTTTTTCTCTGCAATCGAAGAGAAAACCGCGAGATTTGAGGAGAAGGAAGAAGGGGAAGAGTCGGCCTTGGAGATTGGTTTATCAGAGGAAGAGGATTTTTCGCGAATGAAGTGGAAGGGGGGTGGGTGGGGGGGGGGGGGGGGGGGGGGGGGGGCTAGTGTTCTGTAGACGCGGGTTGCGGGGCTTGTCGGGGCGGATTTTATCAAAACCATCACCGCCCGTCAACCGACTACAACGGGTATCGAGTTCCCCGGAAACCGTCAACTATCCGGTCAAACGGATTTAACCAGCTAGCTAACGGATCGGGCCCGGGCGGGTACCCGGAATTCGGGCCCAGTTGCCAAGCCTAATCAAAAGCATCTGGGGTAAAACAACTACAAGAGGGAAAATTTTGGTCAGGAATTCATTTTTCACCTGCATTTGCTGGACCACGGATAAGTCGAACATCCATAAGCCAAGTCGAGATGTTGCGACTCCAGCCATGAGGATATATGCAGATAGTGTCTGGCTATGGACCCATATTCCACCAACACATACAACACAAGGCAAGCCCTCTGCATGAATTTCATATTTTGCATCGAATTGATATTATGTGATCTTCAGTATACTGAACCCTTTCTAGCATATAGGTAATCCTTTTAGTAGGAGCTTGGAATACCTGATACCATACAGACCAAAGTCCCGTTCTGAGAGTTGAAAGCTGAGACTGCATGATTGGGTATACAGAAGTAGCAGATATTCTGATGATGGCGCTTACACCTCGACCTAGCCCAATTATATAAGCAGGAATTCCCTCCCACTCTAATGTTGCTGACATCAGGGTGTCAAAGCTGGGCAAAAAAAGCAGAATCATCAATTCAGCATAACTTTGAAACAGAATGCACGCACGCGTCGCACACACTTACCTGAGGACTGTGAAAAACAGCAAAGCAAGAAATACACCAGGAAGCACAATACTTTGTTTCAAGTACACTCTCCAAGAGCTAATGAAGTGGAGGCTGTAGAGCCATTCACATACTCGGGCTCCCCGTCCCTTACTATAAAATCCTGCATCATGAAGATCATCTCTTGGTGGCGAAGGTCTTGAATCCCTCTTTTTGTGGTTACTCTCGCCAGAGCTGGGATCCCTTCATACACAGACATGAAGAGCAGGTATTCCAGCAATACTGCTGCAATGTTCCAGCAGGATAAAGTTATGGCCGATGCTTTTAATGATACAAAGCTGATGAGGAAACCAGAAACCACTGGTGCCAGAAGCTTGCTGGTCAGATCGATCCGTCTCATGGTTGAGTTGGTCTTTGTTAGCACATCTGGAGGATGGCCTTCCGAAATCACCACTACCCTGTGAAAAACAGTAATTTCAGACAGTCGCACATACTGTGTGGTAATAATCAAAGGGAGCCAACGGCAGTAAGTAATCTAACCATTCTCTTTCTATCAAGATGGCGCCAGCAAGATTGGAAAGAGAGCCAAACGGCGCAAGAGGCGTTGGCTAATGCAACCAGCGAGACGAAGGCTGTGAAGTTTGTGGACTTGAGAGTCGGAAAGAGGAACAAGGCGACGACAGTGCCACCAGTAACCATGAAAGAGAGATTCTGAGCCACTAACCATAGCCGAAGGACCTTTCCAAAAGCCCAAAACTTGTACCAAGGTTGGCATTAATGCAACAGTAGAGCATCAGAAGTAAGGGAGAACTGATCGATTGGTGAAACTAACTTGTACGTAAGTGAGGCGTTGAACCCATTGTCCGATTGTTGGACCCAAAAGTGCAGTGGAAGCAGATTCAACAGCACCGTAAACAGCTGCCAGGACTAAAGATCTGGGCCAAAGATTTTGATCATGTACAGACCCACGCAGAATTCCCACATCTTGCATGGTTTCGCCAGCCCATGTAACTCCGGAAAAAAGAGCGGGAAGAGATGAAGTAAAGTGAATAGTAGCGATCACGTGGAGAAGAGAAGAGAGCAAACAAATAACCTCACCTGACCTGGCATCCCATCT